AAGGGATTAGGAAGTGGTATTAATGCTTTGAAGAACTGTCATAACTGTGGCCTGTAGGTATCTTTATTTCTGGAATTCATGTGTTGCTCAATTGCAACAAGGCCTTGCAATAGATGCTGTGACTTGTATATGTAGAACTTTGATTGCAATCATGGTAGCAATCTTGACATTTTTGGAACCCTTGCTGTGGACATCCCTTGGCCTTATTAAATATAATCATTAAAATTAAATGGACCCAGTGGAAAAGTGGAAGGTGAAAAGCCCCATTGCATACTCTACACACTTGAAAAAATATTATTATTATTATTTACTTTATTCATTAAACATGAAACTCAGTCAACTGAACATTCAAAAATGCGTCACAAATACCATTGACTGGTGCTAATGGTTGATACAGGTTGCTGCCAGCATCCTAGGTATCAACCAAGTACCTTCTTAAGATGTACAATGTTCCAAGTAGTGCAGTTTTTTGCAGTTCCATTGGTGTTATTACAGGAAGCTGCAATTTGTTGATGTATCTTATAAAATTCTTGGACATGGTACCAAGTGCCCTGATGACAATGTGTATCACTGTTATATGTTTCATCCATAGCCATGTAGTTTTGATGGCCAGGTTGCAATATTTCATGATTTTTTCCAGTTCTTTTTCTTCGACTCTGGCATCGCCTGGTACCGTGATGTCAGTAAATTGTACATTTCAGTTTTTGACAACTGTGCACAGAACTGGTAGTAAAAAAAAAATGGATTTTACCACTGCCCTTCCTTTTATTTTATTTTTCCCGCCACAACAATCCTGTGGGTTGGGTTGAAAGAAAATGACTGGCCCAAAGTCACCCAGTCATTTTCATGCCTAAGGCAGGGCTAGAACTCACAGCCTCCTGATTCTGAACCTGGTACCTTAATCGCTAGACCAAACAGCAAAATAGTTTAGGGTTCACATATCTTTTGGGTGCAATATACTGAAAGCTAAAAACAAGAGGAAATTTCTATCAATAGGTCCCAATTATGTCCAACTTGCTGTCTGGTCCTCTTCCAACACTCTGTCCATGAGACAATTACAGGTAGTCCTTGACGTACAACAGTTCATTTAGTGACCATTCAAAGTTGCAACTGTGACTTATGACCGTTTTTCAGTTATGGCTTGGCAGCATCCCCATGATCTTGTCCTCAAAATTCAGACATTTGGCAACTGGTTCATATTTCTGGTTCAAAAGATCATGTGATCACCTTTTGCAACCTTCTGACTAGCAAAATTAATGGGGAAGCCAGATTAAAAACCTTAAAAACCGGGTTATTGATTTACCAACTGCAGTGATACACTTAAGAATTGCAGCAAGGAAACTCGTAAAATAGGGCAAAACTCATCTAACAAGTGTCTCACTTTACAACAGAAATTTGGGGCTCAATTGTGGTCACAAGTCAAGGACTACTTGTATAAGAAAGTCTGCCCTTAACAATCTGGATACTTAAGGTAGGAATAGTTAAGATTAGCAGCCTTTGTTCTCCTTCATCTCTATCGCTCTGACTTGTCTATCAAGGTTTGTTTGGTAAGTGCCTGACTAAAGAATCCTGATCAAGCCTGGCTTATTGTATCCCACTTCAGTGGAGGCTTCAGTCATGCCTGCGGAGAAAGTCTGAATGCTCAGACCCAACAGAGATGCAGCCCTGATACTGGTTAACCAAGCCCTTGATAACATCAATCGTGCAAGAAAGTATAATAGGCCTCCGTATGGGACAACCAGAACAGTCCTTTCCAGACGTTTTTGCTATGTCTTCACAGTAACAGAGTGGGAAGGGACCTTGGAGGTCATCCAGTCCAACCCCCTGCTCACGCAGGAGACCTGTACTAGGGATTTGAACTGCCGAACTGCCGACCTTTCTGATCGACAAGCTCGGTGTCTTAGCCACTGAGCCACCCACATTCCTTACACATATCCCCTCCCTACTTACAAACTTATTCAGCCTTTGCTAGTTGCAAAGATTAATTAGTGCTACTTTATGCCACAGTACATTATTCTAGATTTAAGGATAGAGAGGGGAGGGGGGAGGATGGATGTTGGATATCCTGCATGAAAACTATACTATTATTTTTTTTTTCAAGCCTGCAAATAGAATCAGATTGCTTTGCTGGAGCATATCCATAGACAGTGGCACCAGTCTGGATTTATGCAAGTGTTAAGAAGAGTGCTTCCAGACAGACAGCTCCTGGCACTGCCAATCAAATAAGTCTGTTCAATGTTCAGTTTTTCTTGTAGTACCAAACCAAAAAAAAAAAAAAAAAAAGGCAGAAGACAACTTGGGAAGGGGTATGGATTAAAAGGGGGGAAGGGGGGGAATAAATGGAAGTGAACATCTTTAAGACTCCCTTCCTTCCATAAAATGTCATGTCAGAGGCTGGATGATTGCACAATCAAAGCCACTGCTGGAATCAACTCAAGATCCAAACTATTGAACCCAGCTGGCTAGTCATGGTAATTCCTATGAATTTGGGTGCTCTTTAAAAAAAACAACCAAACAACAACAACAACATGTTTTTCCTTTGATGAAGGATGGCTTTTATTTCCATTTGGCGAGTAAATCCCTGTGTTCTGTCGTTCCGCATTTGCTACTGATCAGAACTCAAAATGGTTATGGCACAGTTGTATTAGATTCAGGATCCTCCCGTATTTTACTAGGGCAATGCCTTCAAGACGGGATTCTTTTTTGGTTAACTCCTCCATCTACTGGATGCTTCTGGAACGGCAACTTTAGGCCAGCTTTAAAGCAAAGCCTGCTTGCTGGCCATTACAGCAAGCGTTACCCAAACTTTAGACGTTCGCAGCGTTGAGATTTTGGCGTTCTGTTATTACTATAGGAAACAGCCTAAATATTTGGTTATTATGCCTTTTAAAATCCAACCTATTTTTGGAATGATAAATTGGCCAATTTTACCCGAGGAATAGTTGGTGTAATCTGCTCTATACTCAACCTGCAGACTCTTTCCCATGATTCAGTTGTCATTCATAACAGTTCTCTGATGAGTGTGCCAGAAAAAAACTAAACCATCATAGATTTTTGCTGTCCCCATCACTAATCCCCCATTACTTTTGTTCTGTCTTGTGGCAGGGGAATTCTAAGGTTAGAGAAGCAGGATCTAAAATTGGACAGAATTTAAAATGCTGATGCCTACCTTCACAGTCAAAATAAGGACAGTTAAAGATCCATTGATGCAAAAAAGCAAGATAAAAAGGTCCAGATTATAGGAAGGGTGGGAGTAGGCTTGATTCCTGTGCTCTAATGTTCGCTGATCTGCTGCAGATATATGACTTCTTCTATATCAGTAAATGCTATTTATCTATCTGGGCCATGTCTTTAAAGTTCTGCAGACAACTGCTAAGTGTGTGTTGGGTTTCTGGACTGAAGTTTATTGGAGGGTTTGGTATGAAGTCTGACCAGGAGAGTGATCTTATTTCTTACGCAGGGAAGCCACCTTCATCCCTGATTTTCAACATCAGTACCAGTGGGAAAGCTGGCAGGCAGTCACAGCACTACTGGGATTGGAGATGGTTTGACAGATGGATATCCCTATGAGTTTAGCTACCGATCAGCAGTCATATATACCCTGTTTCACCTGTCACTTCTCCCAGTCTGGGAATCAACTGTCAGATCTTAGAGATGCAGAAAGAGAAGGGGGAGAGCAGGCTTTTTAGTCTCCAAATTTCTGAGATGGATGAACCTGAATACCTGACAGTATTAGTATCTCTCCCTCTCTCTCCCTCTCTCTCTCTCTCTCTCCCTCTCTTTCTCTCTCTCTCTCTCCTCCTCTCCCTTCCTCTCCCTCCCTCCCTCCCTCCCTCCCTCCCTCTTCCTCTCCCTCTCTCCCTCTCTCTCTCCCTCTTTCTCTCCCCCTCCCTCTCCCTCCCTCCCTCCCTCTCTCCATTTTTGTGGGACAATCACTCCCACTGTTCCTATGAGCTGTTATTGGGGCTGCTTTTGCCACATGTTTCCCAGGTTCAGAAGTAGCCCAAGCAATTCCTGACAGGTCCTCAACTGATTCTCCCTCTCCCATTTCACTGCCCCTTCCCAACACACATTATGCCCATGGTTGAATAAAGGTTTAATGACCTTTTGGAAGAGAAGCAGTGTAAATTCATGTTCAAAATCAATCTGAAACACTGTAGTTTCAGCCACCCAATGCTGACAAAGTGGCAAATAGAACCCATATTTTAAGAGCCACTTGGACACACCATTAAAAATCGGGGGGGGGGGGGCGTGCATTATATTGATTGAGTTGAAAAACACTACATTAAGACCAAAGGAACTGCCTCAGATATTGGTTGGACACACAGTTTAAGGAAACATCAGGAATTGCTAAAATGTGTCCATGCCATGCTTGCATGCAAGTGGCCAAGATCTGGGTAATAATTGTTTAACATCTGCTTGGGTTACTTAAAGACTGGTTATTCCACATCCTAGATAAGATCCTGAAGAGGATTTTATTAGGGAAAAAAAGAGAACATTTTGGTATAGGAAATTTTTGTGACTGCGAAAGTGCTGTGGACAAACGCTAATGTTGTCATTCGATGTGTGCATTCTGGGGTAGAAAATCCTTTATAAATCTAATTCTTTGTAGAATCCAGTAAGGCAAAATCTTTCAGGCTGAGTTTGACTCGCGGTGATATGATGGTCACAGCCTTGTAGGAACTTGGATGGCAATGCAAGAATGTCTTGGCCTTCCCTCCTGGGAATTGTGCCTAACTTCTCAATCAAGCCTATAATTTATTTTTCAACAGTTCTGCAGTATAAACAGATGCTACTTTATTAGAGGAGGCAGGCGATATTTCCTTGGATTGAGGTATGTTAGGAGCAGTTTCAAAGAATTGCTCAAAGGGAAATTCAAATTTAAACTAGAGACATTTTTTTTTTTAAATCCACCAAGGTACTTTAACCAAGAACCTCATTGAAGGAATTGTCTGTCTCTTTTGATAATTTGGAATAATAAGGCATATGTGTTACTGTAATCCTAGTAGTCAAAACTTTTTCAATGGGATGGATGCATGGGAAACTCTGCACCTTCTCTAAATCTTGCTTCTGGCAAAGCTGTTAGCACTCATCTTCAAACTGTATCTGCCCTCTGCTGTTATTACGTCATCTGCAGAATCAAAAGATAAATAAAAGGCTTTATCTAAACATTTCTGAAGTGAGTTGCATGGAAACAATTCCTTGTTGGAACAAAAGGTGACATTAAGCAATTAATTGCAAACACACCAATCAGGTTAGGACAGTAATTAACCCCTCTCAATTCCATCAAAAAGATGATTGTATATATGCATGTATTCACTGTAGAGTCATTGTTACAGAACTGAGAACTGCTCAGAACACTGCTGGTGTTCGGAAATGGCTCGCAGGTAAAGTTTTACAGAAAATATAATCAAATACTCATGATCTGATTACAGATAGAAACAATCTTTATTTTCAAAGCAGCAAGTTTCTAAACCTCAGTGTCGGCCAAAAACAAAAACAAGAAACAAAACCTCACCATTAAAAAAAAAGGTTTTTTTGCTTAGAGTCTATTGCGCCTACAATACAATCCTAATAATTTTTACCTAGGTACCGTACTTATTACCATCATGCTTTTTATTACCATTAATTCAAACACTATTCCAGATTTGGAAAGAAACTGAAAAAGCAGTTCAGGATAAAGCATGGAAATCTAAATTTTTAATAAGAAACAAGCAGGGGTGAAATCCAGCAGGTTCTCATAGGTTCTGGAGAACCGGTAGCGGAAATTTTGAGCAGTTCGGAGAACCGGCAAATACCACCTCTGGCTGGCCCCAGGGTGGGGTGGGAATGGAGATTTTGCAGTGTCCTTCCCCAAGGAGTGGGGAGGGAATGGGGATTTTGCAGTATCCTTCCCCTGGAGGGGGATGGGAATGGAGATTTTTGCAATATCCTTCACCCAGGAGTGGGGAAGAAATGGGAATTTTGCAGTATCCTTCCCCTGGAGGGGGATGGGAATGGAGATTTTGCAGTATCCTTCCCCTGCCACGCCCACCAAGCCACACCACAGAACCGGTACTAAAAAATTAGGTTTCACCACTGGAAACAAGTAATATTACACAAAGAGGCTTGATGTGAGTTTATTTGGATCACAGAATCTGAACAACCAGTTTACAATTCTGAAGGATTTTTTTTTAAGAGGGCAAAACTGGAAAGTTGTGAAAGAAAAAAAAATGCAACAAGTGCCACTATTAAGAAATATTGCTTGAATTGCAACACAGCCTCTCAAGTGGGCTACTGAAGCCACGTGGTTGAGTAATTTGAAAAGTGCAAAGAGAACAGAAGTGTTGCAGCCACCTAAGACATATGTTCAATGTCCCTGCAGTGAGGTCATTGATCATTTCAAAGAAACAGTGCTGGCAGAGCATTTTCTCTGATGGGCTTTGGACTTTAGAATCCAATCCTTCCAGTATTTGGACACAGGCAGTAGGAAAGTTGAAGTAAGGAGTGACAATATAGCCCACAGTTAACCCTAATCTTATCCCAACAACTTATTACCTTTGTAGTATTTGTGTGGCAGACTGAACTATTGCAACAGTTCTGTCCAATGAAATCTTGACATGTCCCAATTGTGGCACGGAACAAGGAGAAGCTATTATCAGACAAACGACTACGAGTGTGTCACAAGTGCAATGCACTTTGGAATCGACTTTTTCTCTCCCTCAGATTTTCTAGTTAAATCTTCAAGAATGCCACCACCAAATCGCTAGCATTTTGCAGATCTCGTCTCATAATGCTCATCCAGCTATCTGGATAGGGCATAACAGTTATTTCTGGTCCTTAAAGCAGGGCAAATTGGCCTGTGCAGTTGTTGGTGACAGAGAAGATGGAATATCTTTCTTGCCAGACCACATGCTGATGGGGGCAGACAAAAATTTGGCTCCTCCGTGCTGCTTTTCTCAACTTTGGGGGTAGAAAAAGAGGTTCGCCAGCATATCCACAACTGTGGTTTCCTTCTCTTGACAAAAATCGGTGGTCTCTTCCAAGTTCTCTTCTCTTTTTATTTTCCCCCAGCAGATAGAATATTCCCAAGGGTTTGTCTTCTGTCAGTTTTCAATTGATCACTGTTGAGGTGAAACATTTCTGGTGAATAATTATTCTCTAACGAAGGAAATGGGTAGGTTTAAAGAGATGACATCTGATGATCAAATGAAACTGAACCCCCACTCAACCAGGGGTGGGATTCCAAAATTTTAGCAACCTGTTCTCTGCCCGGTTTCTGGTTGGGCATGGCCATGGTGGGCATGGCCTACTTGGCCTCCTGCACCACAGGGGGGAGGGGTTGCCCTCCCCAGGCTTTGGAGGCTTTCCTTGAGCCTCCAGGAGGGTGAAAACAGCCTCCCCCGGGCTCCGGAGCCCCTCTGGAGGCCAGAAATGGGCTCGTTTCTGGACTTCTGGAACTTCTAGGAGGCCCGATTTTCACACCTCCCCCCCCGAACCTCTGCACAGGCCCTGCACTTACCTGGCATCCAAAACGGGCCACGTGGAGACTCCTGAGAGGGGAGGGGAGGGGTGGGCGGGGCAGGGCAGGGCCTTGCAATTACCGATTTGGCAAACCAGATGTAAAATTAGCATCCAGTTCTCCCGAACCGATCTGAACCAGCTGAATCCCACCTGTGAACTCAACCCTACACTATGGCCAATTCCCTAAAGCAGCAACATGTTTATATTACTATTCTTAAATGATATTCTGCACTATGGCCTGCAGGATACTGCAATGTGCTTTTATTAGACTGCTAAAAACAAATTGACTAATTTGAACTAAAACAAAGAGTACCTTACTTTCTTGTTTCTTGTGAAATTTTCTTAAGCTTTTTTAAGAAATGGGTTAGAAGAAGCACTAGAACAGTCAAGAATAATTGAAAGCGTATCAGCTTGTGTAAAACTATGATGGAAGCAGTCACCAGCAAAACTTAAACATACCCAAACTGACATTTGCAATGGCCTGTTTTCTTGCAGGCAGAGGGAGATTCCTGTTAGTAGTAACTTTTAAGGAGAAGAAACAATACTAGAAGAAATACCAGAAACAAACTCATGGTAAACCAATCCAAATTAGACTGCAGAAAATACAACTTCAGTAACAGAGTTGTTAGCACCTGGAATGCACTACCTGATTCTGTGGTTTCTTCCCCAAATCCCCAAAACTTTAACCTTAGACTGTCTACTGTAGACCTCGCCCCATTCCTAAGAGGTCTGTAAGGGGTATGCATAAGCGCACCAGCCTGCCTACCGTCCCTGTCCTAATGTTTTATTTTATTCGTATCCTTTTCATGTATTTATAATTATGTTTACACTTGTATCTGTCATAAAATACATGCTTGATGAAATAAATAAATAAATAAAATAAAAATAAAAGAGCAACTGGTACTTTTTATTGCATGCTTCCTTAAAGGAAATTAATTTGAATTTAAAATGGCTAATGCAGAGTGGAAGAAAGTAGCTGGTCTTGCAATAATTATCCAGTTGAGCTTCAGGGATGAATTTGAAGTGATTTCTCTCTGGTCCAAGTCCAAATCCAACAGGCTAGTTAGCAAATTTGAAAGAGAGTTGGAAACCTTCTTTTTCCTTTCCAGGTATAGGTTTTTTGGGGACCATTCTTTTACCAATGGTAAAAGCTCTCTGTGCAAACCGCATGAATGAATTTAAGTCTTTATTTGCATTCCCTTCAAATTGCCCTCTGCCACTGGCATGAGACCTTGGCATATTTGTTTTAAGATTAGTGAAGCCAAGATATTTTACCCAGGCATGCTGCCTTGGTGTTACTGCCACCACAAAATAGCTTTAAAGCTGTACTGAGTCAGAATAAATTAGTTTCCCTCTCTCCCTCTCTTTCTCTCTCTCTCTCTCACAGAATTTCTCCTGTCCTCCTCTTCCTCTCACATGGTCATCAGCTTAAGTTTCCCTACATAAACAGCATCCCTCTTCCTCTAGCTGGCAACCTCTCCTCTAACTGGCCAGTGAGAAAGGTTGAGTAGCAGTGAGCCACTATCCTGACTCCTTCCTTGTTCTTCCCTCAATTCTCTCAGTTTTTACAGTGAGGTGGGGGAGGGGGGAAGTAAGCACCAACAATTATGCAGGGAAGCAGCAAAGCCATCCATTGGACCAACCAGGGGAATAATGGCAGGGTGCTATGGAGATTTCAGTTCATGATGAGAGGGGAATTCCTGGAAACCAGCACAAGTTGGCATTCTCATCAGTGAGGAACTGATGGCCAGAAACTCTATGGTTTCATGGGGACATGCAAGGGCGATAGCAGTCTCAGATTGAATCATAACTGAACGTTTTACATACTTCTGTTTTGGAATCTCCATTGCATGATGAAAAGTGTGGGGTTTCCATCTTCAGATGCCTTACATACCTTCAAAAAGGAAAGATAGAAGAATTACACTGAGTTATAATTGAATATTGCATATTGCAATGTATATCAACAAAAAAGAACTCATAGACATAATATATTTTATTTAGTTAGGGGTTTTTTTCACTAGTATATTCCCTAAGGACTATTGATGGTTTACAATGAAAAATGACAACAATCTTGCCTTATAATAATATATAATACAATAAAACATTATTGGTTATTACTATTCTTATTATTACTAGTTCTCATCTAACAAGTATATCAAACATTAAACTTTCTTTTAAGTTCTGCTTTTATCACTTTCCTAAATACCAGGTGGGGAAAATTTATAATAATCTCCATGAGATGCTATTCCAAAAATTTGGGGCTACTGAGAAGCATTGGCTACTGGCTTTCCTCCTTGAATGAGTCTTGGATGAGAACTTACACCTTCCAATGAATGATAAGTGGACTAACTAGGTTCTACTAAAATAGGTTGTCCTGGAGGTAATTTTAAATAGACATATAAAATCCATATACAATTTTATACAAAACCAGTGCCGAATTATGCCCATAGCATATTATACCCACAGCATGTTATATGTGAATAGGGGCTCTCACCTGCCAACAACCAGGTTGCTGCATTTTGTAAAGTGCCACTTTTGAGTAGACTTCAAGGAGTCCATATGGAATACATAACAGTCATCTATGAGAGACAACAAAAGCAAATCTCATCACTGACTCTTTGAAGCTAGTTGACATCACTCTTTTTCTCCAAGAAGCACTGACAATTTTCTTCATCCAACTAATCATGCCTGGATCCCCATGGCCATCACCCCAAATTTCGAAAGGAACCCAGGTGGAACATGGGTTCAGTACACATGAGATGAAACTTGTTCTCCTCTAACACCCCAATCCACTTCTTCAGAATTCTCAAGATTGAATGAAACCCAAGATTTTACCTTTGTCATCAAATCAGAATATACTCATTCAGTGTTCAAATTTAAGCAGATTTGAATAATTCTGCCAGCTATACTACATGTTGCTCAAACGAGCAACTTTCATGGACCCTTGCTTTCCAACTGGAGCGGATCACCCTAAGCAATACCCTGATATTGCTGACAATGCAATATCATCCCTCTTATTAACCATGTTGTATCCTTTATCATAACCTCATATGCATGGTCAAGATCCTTTCCTCTCCCAGGACCCAGCAGAAAGCTATTATCTTCAATATAAGCCATTATCATCAATATAAGACACTCCTTATCTTTTTGTTTGGTGTACTATCATTAAGTGTTGTACCTTATGATTCTTGATGAACGTATCTTCCTTTATGTACACTGAGAGCATATGCACCAAGACAAATTCCTTGTGTGTTCAATCACACTTGGCCAATAAAAAGAAATTCTATTCTAATTCTATTCTACTACATCATTATTCCTAGACAGCAACTATTTTTTGATTTCAGTGAAGCTGTTATTTAATAAAGGAAATAATGCTCTGATATAACATTCTAGAATTAGCTGTATTTTACCATTTAACTAAGATTGCCTGCAATTCAGGATTGGATTCCTAAACCTGGGTGTGTGTAAACATTGAGGTGGGAAAGCTGTTTAATGTTTGTTACAACTGACCCTTGGTGCAGTAATCATCTAGAATAGGAATCTCTATCCTAATTTTATAATTGAGATTGCACTTGCTTCCAGATTTGGCTAAGAAGGATGTTTTCCACCTTTAGGGAAAGTGTAGCAAGTTTCTCATACACAGCTGTTTGTAAGAAAACTTGTGGGATTCACACGTCCACTTCATTTGGGGGAAATATCGCTTCCAAAAGTCTTATCTATAGTATTTTTCTGTCCTGTGTGAAGATCTTCTCTTTTGGTACGGATCTTCATTACAGGAGAAGGCAAGCAAGCTTCTCTCATCCAAATATTTTACTGTTGGGTTCCAATTTCCATTCACTATAACTAATCTGACCAAAGTTTAGAAATAACACAACATAAACTTGAAGGTACTGGATTGAAGGTGGTGAACTGTAAATTTTTTTACTACCAGTTCTGTGGGCGTGGCTTGGTGGGGGGGGGTAATGTGACTGGGTGGGCGTGGCCAACTTTTTTTTAACTTTTAAAAGCATTTTTTCTACAACCTTAAGAGGTTGTAGAAAAAATGTTTTTAAAAGTAAAAAAAAAAAAACCCCTCTGGTGTTCGCAGGGCTCAGCGGGGCAGGGGGGGGGGGGGGAGCAGGGATTTTTGCTACCGGTTCTCTGAACCACCCACCGCCATTGCTACCGGATCAAGCGATCTGGTCTGAACCGGGAGCATTTCACTCCTAGTCTACCCTGATGTTTTAAGCAAGAATCTCTGTGGGCAGAGGCCTAAGTGATATAACATAGAGTCGTCTTCTTTTTTAAAAAAGACAGACAAAGTAGTTAAATTGCAGAGCACAAGCCACATGTTAAGCCCAGGGAGGGGTGGGGGAGTGTGTAACCTCTGATTTCTCCACTAGAGAAACAATTATTTGGGATCTATTTGTTTTTTCTTTTTTAATGCCATTTTAAAGGGTTATGCGATAAATCATTTTACCAACTTCTCTACTTTCCCAACAGGCTTCAGTTATGTCTCAAAAGACGACCACACAAGGGAACAGCTTCAGTGGTGGGTTTCAAAATTTTTTACTACTGGTTCTATGGGTGTGGCTTGGTGGGCGTGGCTTGGTGGGCATGGCAGGGGAAGGATATTGTAAAATCTCCATTCCCTCCCCAATCCAGGGGAAGGATACTGCAAAATCCCCATTTCCTCCTGATCAGCTGGGACTTGGGAGGCAGAGAATGGATGGGGGTGGGGCCAGTCAGAATTTTTACTACCGGTTCTCTGAATTATTCAAAATGTCCACTACCGGTTCTCCAGAACTGGTCAGCACCTTCTGAAACCCACCTCTGAACTGCTTCTACAGTGCTTTTTTGGTTCAGGAAACATAGGCAGCCAAAAAACGGCACAGAAGGATGGAAAGTAGTGTAACAGAAAAACAACAGCACTAGTAATAAGCCTTATTGGTAGAATCTTAGCTTTACAGTGCAATGAAAAGATATCTCACCACTCTAAAATATCCTCTGAATGAGGAAAAACGGAAGAGGAAGGACACTTTTGGCATATTATGATTTTAAAAAAAAAACTGAGTAGAAGATTTGTTGTTGTTATTATGCTATTGTTTTCCTTCATTTCTCATCTCTTTATTACTTCATTACCATGTTATATGAGGTAATCATAATGTAACAATGGTCCCTTCAAATAGTAAAGAGAAGTAGCATAAAGAAAAGATACAAACACATTTATTTATGGCCACATTATGTTCAAAGATGATGGAAGGAACCTCCAGCCTGCTAAAACATTCCTGCACATTCCTTTAGTCTCGGTCTTGAATGTGATAGAAATATTGTTGTGTCTTTTCCCCACATTTTGTTGGGGAACAAGATTGAGGATATAAAAACTAAGATGGAATCTGCAGATTACAGCCATCTTTGCTTGTGAAACTCTGTACTTTGGTATGAACACTCACGCACAAAATATGTATACATATTCAGGATGAAAACTTATTATTCAGAAGTGAGTAAATTCAGAAGTGAGTAAAAATAGGCTCTAAATTTAAGTACTTTTATACTCAAATTCAGTACTTTTATATGTGGGGTCCTTGGTACTAGTGGTGGGTTCCAACCGGTGTTACTACCAGTTTTCTTCACGCACATACTTTGCACGCGATCGCTGCGCGAATGCTCGCTTTGCTCGCAAGCGCGTTAGGTTTCTGGACAACTGAGGTGCGGCAATCCACTCTGCCGTGCCTATCAGCTGGGCTAAAAACCAAGAAATAAAGGTAGGAATAAAACGGGAGCAGGCGGGAGGGCCCAGCTCCCAGTCACAGAGAACTGTTCCGGTGACGTCACGACATCACCGCTACCGGCTTGGCCGAACCGGGAGCAACCCACCACTGCTTGGTACTCTTTGAGCTTGGTTGTTTCCTTGCTGATATTTCATTACCCAACTAGATAGTATTCTTCATGTATAGGCCAAGGATCATATGATCAAAATTCAGATGCTTGGCAACTGGTTCATATTTACTACTGTTGTTGGGTCCCTGGGTTACTAACTTATCAACTGCAATGATTCACTTAACAACTGTGGCGATAAAGGTGGCAAAATGAGGCAAAACTCACTTAAAAATGTCTCACTTAACAATAGAAATTTTGGGTTCAATTGTGAGTCTTTTAAATGCTTATGGAGTGCTGAGTCTTGTCTTGATGGGCTTGTTCTGCATTTAAAAGACAAAGGCCACTCTTTTGAAGACAGCAAAGTCCACATTTGTGACAGACTGGACCGCTGGTTTGAAAGAGGCGTCAAAGAAGCCATCTATGTCAAAATTGAACAGTGCTCTCTCAACAGAGGGGTAGGGATACAATATCATCCATCTCGAGTCTACAACACAGTCTTTTCAACAGTTCCAAGAAGGCTTCACACCAGGGGTGGGTTCTACTTACCTTTACTACCGGTTCGCAACGGGATTGCGCATGCGCAGATTGCTTCTGATGATGTCAGGGTCAGTGGGCAGAGCCTCCCGCTGGTTTTACTACCGGTTCTATAGAACCGGTCCGAACTGGGGGCAACCCACCACTGCTTCACACTCATTTGCACTACTCAGGTGACCCTGAGGGCACAGATAAACCTCCAGTTGGCCTCAACGACTCTCTAAAAGTATGCAAATGACCAGCTGTCTGCAAGGGGTATAAATCCTTCCATTCTCCACCCTCCAGTCAGAACTGAAGAAGCTTCTTGGAGGAGAAGTGAAATGTCTTCAATGAAGAACAAAAAAAGTCCAGTTGCCTCTTGAAAAAGAACCTTTGGGACTGGTCCGGCATAGTCAATTGCTCAATTATGTCAATTACTCAATTACTAGACTCAATTGCTATCCTCTAGTAAGGAGACTGTTGCATTAGTAGCATTAAGCAGGATTTGATTATCACTTAACACTTCTAATGGGAATGGGAATGGGAATGGGATGAGAGGTCATTTTATCCTTTGTCTCAGGCTCAAAATATCATGGGCCAATCTTGTCTTCATTTGTGTAGCAGCACTTGTTGCTCAGTGCACTTAAGAGAATTAAGACAGTATCGTATCTCTATTTACAACAGGAGTGCAGGGCAGCCATAAATATATAATGTTCTAAATCCAAGTAAAGCAGGTGCAATGTTAAAAAGTCATGTGTAGTTTACAATGAATAGAAATCAAGATTCTGATTGCTACCCATTCATTTTCCTTCCATGTTTTTATATGCCTATATCTACTGTACATCTACAAATTAATGCAATTAAAGCAGAGCTAAGCAACTTGTTGCAACAAGATCTCTTGCAGCCTCTTAATGCCCTTCATGGGATCACAAATTCCTGACTGGCTTTATCATTGCAGTGTTGAAAATCAGCGCCATAATTTCAAACCATTCATGGGTAAGAAACGACAACAACTGTACTGCAAACCCTAAAATAGATTTCAACTAAAAGTGCAAAGAGAAAACCTAATTCCTTTCTCCAGATCATCCTGGTCCAGTCCATGTACATACAGTTCGTTTTCACATCTGTATTATCTCCTGTCTAATGTAGCCCCAACACAAGAATCATTCCACAAGTCAAAGTTCCAGCACCATCATTTTGAAACCGATTTGATAGTGCTCAAAAGGCACGAATGTTTTGTGGATGGAACCACGAGTAGCTGTCTGAGCCCTGCAAACGACACAGCTACTTTAAAAGGATGAAAAGAAACGCTTTGTGTGTCCTTCCATGTGTTGCCACCATCTTTTTGAATATTTTGCAGAACTCTCAAAAATGGTGCAATGGGTTGGAACAAACATCATCTATTTCATGAAAAGACAGACACTTCACTATTGTCATAAAATGTTTATATAGAGCCCTTCCTGGGAAAGCTCCCTTCCTGGGAAAGCTAAAAGGAGCAAAATATGCATCAATTGTTTTGAATGAAACCTTGGGTGGCTCTGCATGATGTCAAGCCCAGATAACTCGATGGACATCTTGCATTCCAGGAGTCTCCTTTTGATATGAATTGTTTGAGCATTCCATTTTACTAGGCATGCTACTAGGGAAGGAATCTTGAACTTTACAGTAGCTGAACAAAACAAAATAGTTCCTGGCACCTCCTCCTAATTGGGGGAATGCTAGCTGGCAACAACTATTTCATCCTTACCTCTCTTTCCATTTCCATCAGATTAATCTATACTTCTTTCCTCTCTCTCCACAGAGAGAACATACTCAGCAGTTTCAGGGGAAGTACTTTTCCCCCTCCACATCCTTTAACTGATACACTGTACCACTTAATGCTTTTTCTCACAGAATCCCAGCATTCTCTGGAGGAAAGCACTTCTTATTGGCTTCCTTAGGTTCAAGACACCAAGTGGTTTAGCAATAAAGGAACTGAATGAAGCGCACGTGCCCAGTGAGGTCTGGCAACCAAGACCAAGCAACGCAGATGCAGAAATCTGCAAGATAAAGATCCATGTGACCATTTACCACCACCACCCCATCCATTGCAATGCATTTGGCTCTTTGCTCAATACGCCAGTAAAATGAATAGAGTACTTTCATTGCTATTAAAGCAGTTCAGATTCCAGCACTGTCAGAAGTAACCAGTGCCAAGTTATCAATATTGTTTGAGCTGAAGTACATAAAATAAACTTTTGGACCGTAATACCTGCCTGGAATGTTAAACTGTTCTCTTGTACCTCATTACAGGATGGGGAAAAGGCTGAAAAAGACAATAAATGCAGCCAGGTTTAAAAATCTCTGAAATACAGTATATATCCTTTATATTTGACAAAAATAATTAATCTTTTTTTTTAAACTCTTGTAATTGCACCCAAATCAATAGACCAGGCTAAAATTACAATTTCCCCCGTATGTTTTGGGTACTAATACAGAAGACAATTTTAATTGTTTAGAGAACTATGTATATAGAATTAACCAAGGAATATGGGTGCTTAGGTGGCTTTAGGACGAACGGTCTGTAATTCGTCGAGATTGAAGGTGATTCCACTGGACCAAGATGAATAACAAAATTATGACTTGGACACCAAAGAGTTGACTTTTTTGTTGGGTTTTTTTTTTTTTTTTGGTCTTCATTCCCAGCCAAAAGGGTGTCCCTAGTTCAGCTTACCTTCTCCAGACAGAGTGGAGTCAATGCCAACCACAAAAAGACAAAAATGCAATGGGGGAGGCCAACAGCTTGGCTTTCTACTTGGTAAGCACTTGGGTGTATGTTTGAAAAGATGAACAATTATCACAGGAATGTGTGTGTGTGTGCTAAAAACCAATACATAGACCACCTGAGATGGGGGCTTTGTTGGAAGAATTACAACATGAAGATACTCAGGAATGTCCATCTTGACTTTTAGAACTTGCCATCTTTTTAGAAGCTCTTCAATTCCCAATCCACCAAAAAAAAAAAAAAAAAGGCAAGTGACATTACAATTTACACTTTTTCCTTCAGTGTACACAAATCACTCTGAATGCTCAGAGTAATGAACCTGTGTTTCTTCTTGTTATTCTATGACATACCATTCCATTTTATCACGAACACATGGATAACTGATGCTACTATACATTTGTTTTGAGTTTCTTCCCTTGTTCCCCAACCGATTTTTGATTGCCAAATACATTTTAGAAAGCAAAAGGTGTCCTATCCTGCGCCTTTTTTTTTTTTTTTTTGACCTTTAAAACTACTATGAGATTGAAATATTTATTATTTTGGCCAACAGGATTACATTAGCAATATGAATGACAAGCATGCTTAGAAAGGTATTTAGTGGCTTTGAGAATGTTATTAAACTGCAGCTGCCCCACATATTCTTATGTGATCATCATCAGACCAATTTTAAAACTTTGCTTTCCTAACATCAATAACATGCTCATCCCTGTGGTATTTGTGTGCTTGGAATTTGCTAGGAATGTAACTAAAACTGCCTGACAGCTGTTGGTATTGTCTTTGTCTAATCGCTTTAAGCATGCAGATTGGCCAGATGTATCTGAGTAATTGTCATTAGAAATGTTACCTTAAGGTTTGAAAGTTATACATAAAGGCAAGTTCTCCTTCATGTAAAAAAGCAAATGGTTAATCCATCTAGTTTCCTATTACTATTAGTTTCCAGGACAGTGAGGGATAGTGGCACCTTTGGGATTTGAGTGTGTGTTGTTGGACACTTAAAATAATAGTTTATTGAAACCTGGAAGACATTTCATTATGCAGATGAAACTTTTCTTTGCTATTACTTTAAAGAAATACCAGCTTTGCTATTACTTTAAAAGAATTACCAAGTATAACTTCCCATAAAAGATCCCTTTGCCTGTTCTTGAAAATTGAGGATCAAAAATATCTGGCGATCCAGGTACTTCTGGTGTGATGCAGTAGTGGGTTGCTACCGGTTGCCCCGGATTGGGCAAACCCGTAGCGGCGGTGGCAGGAGGCTCCACCCACCCTCCCAGACATCCCTGCGCATGTGCAAAAGCTTCTGCATGCATGTGCGAGCGCGCACACATCCACAAGTGAACTGGTAGCAATGGGATTTGAAACCCACTACTGGTGTGATGATTTTTTTTTTCATTTCCCGTAAAAGTGCAGATCAAATCTACTAAATGAAATGAATAAAATAAAATATTGCAGACAGGAATGTACTCCATATCTATGTTGTAGGTCGACAAGCAGTCTCTCAGTTGGGCAATCACTGCATTCTTCTGAATTTTAAAATTCACAATGAAAGAAAGATATGAAGCCATGAATAATAATAAAAATATCAGATGTGAAGAGAGCATGCAACATAGAGAAAACACCGCAAAAACTGTTTAAATAGATTCATGGGGTTTTTTTTATTTAACGACTTAAAAGGTGCAGTAGCAAAGTGCTTTTTTTCTCCATTCCTGCATGGACCAGTTTCTTTTCTTCTAGTTACAATAGTTCTCTAGTTCATAGAGAGAGCAGGTATTTTCACAGCATTGCTCCACAATTCCTCTTTTCATTTTCTGAATTTCTTGGAGTGGTACTTCCACCTCATTCGATAAAGGACCATTCACTACCAAATAAGAGAAGACCAACATTAGATGGATGTTCAAAGTATATTCAATAGAAGGTATCTTCATTTGGACTTTCTGTTTCAGTTTGGCATCCCCAAAGATATTATAATGCCTCTGCCTTTCCCACCACATTTGCTTTTGGGGCTGAGTTTAGGTTGAATACTATTGATTATTTTTGACAGTTTCATCCTTATTCCCGACGAACAAAAGTTAATGTTACAGGGACTTGTCTATTCTGCTATGTGATAACTGTTTCGTGATTTATTTATTTTTTAATATACCTGCCTTGTCTTTGCTATGGCTATCAAATTGTCCTGGCACTAGATTATTGTACTCTGAGTCAGTTAACTGAAACTGAGCTGGATGTTTTAGACCCTGGTTACACATTGCACACTTTCAACTGAGATTAAATGAGCAACAGTAAAGCAAAGCTAAATACTAACAAGGTGGAAGGGCTATGGATTAGTATTTCACAGATCGGGAAACTGAGTGCATCTCCAGGGCTGGATGGGACTGTATTTCCTTTTGAAGGAAGAGGTGCTTCATATGTTGATAAACTCCCAGATTCATCACTATCCCAGCTTGCTACCTCCAAACAAATACAAATATAGTATGATGGTTTGGTTCCTAGGGTCCTCAATAATTGAAGTGTTTCTCATCCTACATACTACATGACAGTCTGCTTTCCTTTTAGCCAAATGTAGGATGCTCTGCAAAACCTTGCCTACAAGTAATGAGTCAAGATGGTTTGCATAAAAATCAAGTGGAAAAGAAGGAACTAGGATTCTTCTCTGTGTATTTGAAATGAGAAATATGATGCATATTTTTCCCCCAGCAGGATGCATTGGTTTTGGCAGCTCTTGGCAAACTCCTTGTGGAACTTTTGATTCAGAGATGCTTCTTGGTCTGTCTACTGACTTTTAGGAAAACACTTAAATTACATTATTATTGCCATAGTAGCACTATTATTTCCAGGCTACTGAAAATAACAGGAGTATTGCTGTCAAATTGGCACTGATTTAAATTGACCATGAACAAGGAGGCTGCCTCACTGACAAAGGGAAAACGCCACTTTGGCATTTAGGAGATGTATGCATCTTGGATATCAGTCTATTCCATTCTCCATTTAACAATGGAATGATCAAGAATCAATCAGGGTAAAACAGAGAGAACAACATTTCCTAATTTCAGAACCCATTGTAAAAGCATTGGTCTGCAATGTCCACAATCGCCAACCATGCCTATGGGAGTTGTATCCCAAGACATCTGGAAGGGGAAAGGCTGAGAGAAAGGAAGGAGCCAAATGCTGTTGTTTTTTTTTAACTCGTTGAAAAACTAATTTGGGAAGTTTACATTCATAGCCTCCTCTCCTGAATTATTTTGCTGGGTTATTTAAGTTGTCTATGAACAGCGTTTGCCAATATTCTTCAGATTCAGAGTGTGTATTTATCTATTTACCATATTTTATAGCTTGCACCAGTGGTGGGTTTCAAAATTTTTTACTACCGGTTCTGTGGGTGTGACTTGGTAGGCGTGGCATGGCTTGGTGGGCGTGGCTTGGTGGATGTGGAAGGGGAAGGATACTGTAAAATCTCCATTCCCTCCCCACTCCAGGGGAAGGTTACTGCAAAATCCCCATTTCCTCCCGATCAGCTGGGACTCAGGAGGCAGAGACTAGATGGGGACGGGCCAGTCAGAATTTTTACTACCGGTTCTCCAGACCTGGTCAGAACCTGCTGAAACCCACCTCTGGCTTGCACCAATCAAGACTCAGAAAGGATCACAAGAAAAAAGACATTAAAATGACCCAATTAAAATAGGCAGCAATAATTATGAACCAGATGGTTGCCAACAGCCACCCTATAAGTCAATATCTCATTAAATTGTTTCCAGGGCTTCCTGGAAGGTAGGGAGGGTTGGAGCAGAGCTTCTCTGGAGACAGCTTGTTTCATAGTCTGGGGGCAACTACAAAGAAGGCCCTCGAGTGTTCTGACTGGATGTGGCAAATCATGTTTTCAAAAACAATCCTTGATATATAAACACCATTATCTGTTTCATGCTAGTTTAAGACTATCTACCTACCAGGTGGTGAGTTATAAAGCAAATTCACCAGGTTAGGTTACAGACGGGGCATTTTAGGAAATTAGGGGGAAAAAAACCTTACCTAGTGGTTGTTCTATGTTCCTTCGTGTCCTGGGGGAATAGTAGAAGCCCCGCTCTCCACATATAAGGAAAAGGGCTTCCACCAGATGAGAGCCACACAGACGTTGATTGGGAGCAGCTTGGCTAACTGTAGGAGCTGAAACAGCCAGCAGCAGCAGGAGAGGTAGGGAACGGATCCAAAGAGCCATGGTGATGCAGATGAAACTCTGGAAAGGAAGAATCCAACAAAAAATAGGTTTAGAAAAAAAGAAGGATAACAGGTACTAAGATTATCATGATTCCATATTTTACCATGCTGCAGCTGCCTCTGGACAATTGCCCAGTTACTTCATGTTATAGGGTAGACTGGTACATAGGGAACAACATCCTAGTAATTGCCAGGGGAAATAAGGGGAATTTCTTTCCCTTCCCCCCTCCTCCACTTTCCTTCCCATTCACAGCCTAATATACTTGCCCTCTTGCATGTTGCTTGAATGGTGTTGGGTTTTCTCTACTGAAGAGTAACTTGCTATGTTCTCCCTATATGATGTGGCCAAGCTTTAGTGGTAAAATGCTATTTGCTATGACATTTATTTCATAGCTTAAATTCCATGACATGATCTTAAAGAAGTACATGAAATATTTTACAAACTTAGATTAAGATATGGAAAAACAGCCTGTGGTGGAATCTTGGGAGAATTCCAAGATAAGAGAAATTTGATAGTGGAAGGAATTAATTCCTCATGGAGTTAATGAGCTGAATATATTTCAGTAGTGACTTGGTAGTCCTCCGTCATGGACTGAGCAGGGCAGGATGTAGCCCCTTCCAACTACTTATTTTATGAAGATAAAGCATGGGTGAGAGAGATTTTTCTAGTGGTTAAGGAGCTGGCCTAGACCGTTCCTTAAATTGCACTTTCTTGGTTTATTTTCCTTGAAAACAATTCACTTCACCATCAGTTCAGTTCTTCAGAACTGAAAAAGCCTCTTAGCTGAGAAGTGAAACATTTTCAAGGAAGGAAAAAAAAAACACAAGAAAGTCCAGTAGCCTTTTAAAAAGCACCTTCGGGACAACCATGACCTGAATGATTGAGAATCTATATCAGGGGTCCCCAAACTTGGCAGCTTTAAGACTTGTGGAGTTCAACTCCCAGAATTCTCCAGCCAGCATAGCTGGGTGTTGAAGTCCACAAGTCTTAAAGTTGCCAAGTTTGAAGACCTCTGATCTGCTCTATATAGACAGGAGTCTTTGTCCTTCCTTAGGCATGAAAGCTGGCTAGGTGACCTTGGGCCAGTCACACACTCTCAGTCCTATCTACCTCACAGGGCTCTTGTTGTGGGAAAAAGTGAGAAGGAAGTGTTGACTTTCAGATAACGCAGGGGCTTTTTGCTAGGCATCATAAAGTTGTTGCTTTTTTAAAAAGAGAAATGGGTTAGGAAAATACTGAGTGCACTTAACTCATTTATTTGTTTGTCAAATTTAGATACCGTCCATCTAATCCCAGAGTGACTCTGAGCAGTGTTCAGTTAAAAGCATATATTCAGTTAAAATATATTCAGTTAAAAGCATATATTAAAAAAGTGCAGTACATCAGTAAAAGGAGCCAGGTAGAAACAAAAACAAGTTAAAAACCAAAAAGATTTATGGTTGCCAAATCTGGGCTGCAAAAATCTGGCCAGCCAGAAGATGGCACAGAAGAGTTTAAGAGTTTTCTATCTCTTTTTTTGCAGTCTAGATGTGGTAACCCTAATCCAAGTTTCTTCCCAAAGGCTGGGATGAAATAGGAAAGTTAGTACGGTAGAGAGAAATAACAGCAAACTTTTTAAAACCACAGCAATGTGATGACAGGTATAAGAATACGGGCACAATATTGAGGATGAGGTACGCAGAATCCTAGACCTTATTCCACATAAAATAAGACTACAAATTGCTCCAAGTTCTTAGTAGATAAATAACTGGTCATTTACCAACACATTATACAGCATATCACTCATATCACATACAGCAAATTAAGTAAACTGTCCCACACCACAAAGAATACTCTGAAAACACTTCAACATTGCCAATATTTTCACAGAAAGAGAGAGAGAGAGAGAAAATGAAAACCCTGGAAAATGGCTTACCTGTCAGGTCTCAACCCTAGTGAGGTTCTGTTGCAAAGAACACCACCTGGCTGATTATTAATACTGTGGAAAAAACAAGCCATTGAAGTAGCACCCCACCCAGTACTTCTCACCAAAGCCCCTTGTTAATCCTTTTGAATAAAACAAAACATCTTTAACAAAGGAGAGCTGATAAGAGTGGCTTATCTCTTTAAGTCTGTTGAAAGGCAGGAGTGATAGCATTTGCTCACTTATGGTGAGGGAGGAAGTGAGAGAGCTAAAGAGATAGGAAGTGGGAGGTGGGACAAGGCATGAATTCTCCACACCATTCCAATACTCTAAAATATAAATTGAAAAACTTTAACTCATGTACATCAGCTCAGTTATCCAATCCAAGCAACCCTCAGATAGATAGTTCAGGAGCAGTGCCAAAGCCCATGTAGAGATGCTCAGAGATCCAACAGCAGGACACAATCATAACAGGATCACATTGGCTACTTTTAATAAAAGCTGAGGTGGAAAAGGGAATTTGATTCAAACTAAAATTTAACATTCAGAATTAAGGCTGCTCCTCTATGCTTTTTAAGGGCTACACCCCACCCTCCATTGCTGAGTCTACGACCCCAATAAAGATTTGATCTGAAAGCTGAAAGAGAGTGGGGAGTGGAAGGCAAGAAAGAAACACTTCCAATTATAAATGTTCTAATTTTGTTACAAACAAAGCACCAATACAAAGATGAATGGCAAAGGAGAGATTTAAACCAAGGACTTGGATTATGGATTGGTTGAGAGACGAAGAAGTGAGGTATATATAGAAACCACAGTTCATTTTGCTGGAGTTCTATAAGAGTTCCTGCTCAGATGATGCAGAATTAACAGCCGGTACAAAGTAAATCAATCTATAAAACTCATTCTTTCTTCAGTGTGCTATGATCAGTTGTATAAGTCCTGTCATTAAAAGATACACTCAGATATCACTCCTTCAATTTATTTCCCTTCTTCCACTCCCTATCCTAGCATCATTGGAAAGTACCTATTTTTTTCCAGATCCCATGAACTCTGAATATGCTCCCCAACTACAAAAATGCTTAGCTCAGTTCCATGCAGAAAACCACAGAATCTCTCTGAATTCCATGGAATCATGGAAATATGTTGCACACCTATTTGAATGCCAAACTTTTGAAGGCAAAACAAAACAGACTTACCAAACCAAGGTGATAGTGCAAGGATGCTGAGAGACTAAGGGGAATATGTAACTCCCATCTCATCTCCTTGCCATATTTATAATCCAGAGAGACGAGATTTTACCAGATCAACATGGTCAATTTTTTTTTTGCTGGTTCAAGCATCACATTAAGTCTTAAAGATGAGGGGGGGGGGAAATAGTAACAACAGCTTGCTGTTTCCGTCTCATTACACCAGTAACCTGTGTTTGCTTCACTGAATTTCTGCCTTGAGTCTTTGTGAGCCTTTTAGCAGGAGAGATAATAGGGCTATTAAACTTGTCCAATTACACTAATGCTGGGCAATTGGCAATGCTTGGATTGGGATGACCACCAAGCTGTCCATCCCACCAGATGTTTCTGAAGGGCAAAATTAAGGAACAGCAAACATGTTAACACATTCTGCTAATCTAATCCCTGCTGGGCAACTAGTGATAGGACAAAGTTGTTGACAAGATGCTACTCTTGCCAGGTGTTAATGTGGAAAGAAAATACTTAGAGCAAATAATAACCAAGGCCACATTTCCTTGAGAGAAAACATGTGGGAAGCAAGTCATGCCACCCCAGTAGATGAGTAGTCACCACTCAAGGTTATAATACAGTTTTCTTTCATGAGGTCCAGTGTCATGATTTCTTGCCTCTGATTATGGAATAGGAATAGGAATAGTACACAATATTGTCCAGATGTGATTGGGCACACAAGGAATTTGTCTCCAGAGCAAGGAAAATTACAACATCTATATCTTTTTCACCAGAGAAGAATTATGTACAGATATGGTAGAACTAGATCAAATTATAAATAATGTGGAGAAAATGAAAAATGAGGAATTATTTTTTTTCCCTCATAACATCACAACTCCTCCAGTGAAGCTGAGTTGTGAGCAATTCATGCCAGATCCAACAAATGACTTTTTTATACTACACAACCTTAAACTGTGACAACTGTTGCCATCACATAAGAAGAAAGAAAAATGAATAAGGCAGTTACCCATTTGAAAATATATTCTCAACTAAAGTACCGGGGATGTCTGGTTTTTATTTGAAAAAGCCGCACAAGGACAGCAACTCTTCATGTTCCAAACAAGGGAGTGATCGAACAAAGGCAGAACAATGTATTTTCCCTCAGTAGGTGTTGAAAGCAAGGTATCTGCTTAGTTTTGGGGTTAATGAGATCAATCTATGTTACAGGGGAAACTAGGAAAGTATTCTATGACATGTTGAAGAATAAGGCTGTGGAATCAAAGGTGGGGGAGTCAAAACACATATCCAAGGGGGCAGAATGGTTGGAAAAGTGCCTTTGAGATACAGAAACCGAGCAGAATCCATGCTTGAATGGAATATAGGTAGTCCTCAACTTACAACCATAATTGAGTCCAAATTTTCTGTGGTTATGTGAGACATTTGTTAAGTGACTTTTGCCCCATTTTACAACCAGATTTGTTAAGTGAGTCACTGAAGTTGTTAAGTTGTTAACACAATTGTTAAGTGAATCTGGCTTCTCCATTGACTTTGCTTGTCTCAGAAGGTCACCCAAAGTGGATCACATGAGCCCGGAACACTGCAACCATCTAAGTATGAGTCAATTGCTAAAGCGTCTGAATTTTGATCGTGTCACCATGATCAGAACTGTGAAAAATGGTCAGAAGTCATTTTTTTCAGTGACGTTGCAACTTTGAACGAACTGTTGTAAGTCGAGGACTATCCATTTAACCTTTTTTTTTTCAAGTTTGCCAGCAAATTAAATTTCCCAATGATCATTGTGGATAATTAGCTTAACAAACTATTTGATGAATACTGGGTCTAATAAAGTACATACAACCCACCCAAATGCCTATGTGTGGCAAATGGATGGAAGTGCCGCAGCACACTGGGACAAGCAGAGTAAGA